CAGAGATTTTATTTATTATTAACTTTATTTATTTAACTATGTATTTATTTTAATAATATATAAAAAAATAAATTTCAAAATATATAAATTTTATACAGATTATTATATTAAAAATGGAATGTAAATAACTATATTTTAAAAAAATAAAATTGCAATAAAATATGTAATTCTTGCTAAAAAAATACAATTTAACAATTTTATTTAGTATAAACCCTTTATTTAACTATGTGTTTATTTTATATACAAAAAATAAATTTCATATAATCTTAAATTTTTTTTTAAATAAATCCCCCATTTCACTAACACATGTTAAGAAATCCCCCATCAATATAACCCAAAATTTTAAAACTAATTTTTTTTCAAATATATCTGAATCTGAAAGAAAAAATAAAATGAAAAAGAAAATTATGATTATGATTTATAATAAAGGGGTATTTAAAATTTTTTTAAGGAAAAAAAATAGAAGGCGAGGAAACGTTAGAAGTTTTTCTTTTTATTAATATAAAGAATTATATATTTAAAAAAAAATATATAATGTTATATTTTATCTGACTCTGAATAACTAATAAAAAAGAAAGAATTTTAGAGAGATTTTTATATAATCTTAAAATTTTTTTTAATAAATCCCCCATTTCACTAACACATCACATGTTAAGAAATCCCATCAATATAACCCAAAATTTTAAAACTAATTTTTTTTCAAATAAAATAGAAGGCGAAGGGTGAAGTTTTTATTTTTATTATAAAAAGAATTATATATAAAATTTTTTTTAATAATAATAATGTGGTTTTACGTCTTTATAGAGAAACCATTATAGAGAATGTATTTTATAGAGAAACATTTATAGAGAAGAAAACAATTATAGAGAATGCATTTATAACAAATGGTTTTATAGAGAATGTCGTTTATAGAGAATGATTTTAAAATGAATGTAGAGAATTATTTTGTAGAGAATTATTTTGTAGATCTTGATTTTATAGAGAAATGTTATGTATGGGACAATTAGAGAGTAGTATATGTAGATTAATACGTAACAACATTGGGGATATTCTCAATATAACTGATGAAAAACATATTCCAACTAATAAAAAGGGAGTATGTAAAGATTGTCCAAGAGTGAAGGAGGTAAAAACAACATTTATTTGTTTAAATTGTTAAAAATTCATTAGATCATATGCATACATTTTGTCGTGAATGTTAGTACAAAAATTTACATGATATTTGATGATTAGTATTTTATTTAATATTTGATATCTTTTTATAAAATTTATATAATTATCTATATTCGACATTCATTTAATAAAATATATAATAAAATTTGCATTTTTTTAAATACTTTATGGTGATCAAAATATAATTAAAGAAAGGTTTCAGAAAAAAATTTTTATTTTAGTAACTTTAGTAAAATTTGCATAACTGTTTTTAGAAGTAACTATTAATCTAAGATTTTGTATTTATTATTTCCAATAATATTTGAATATGTATTCAAAATTGTATTTGTAGATCTCAAGTTTTAATATGTTCTGAGATATTAATCAAAATTTGGGATAAAATAGACCCCACCTTTGTAATTAAGGGATTTTTTTCCACCTTTGTAGTGAAGGATCAAAAAGTATGGGTTGAATTTTAAAAGGAGAAATATTTATATGCTAGGTTTACAATAAATATTCATATTTAAAACTGCCTTTCGCGACTCGAATTGATAGACTAAAATAAAAAAAATATAAAATATTTTCAGTATAAAAAAAACTAAATCTATCCAATTGAATAAGTTAGGTCAGGTTTATTATTTTGTCATAACTAAAAAACCAAGAATTTGACAATCCATAAATATATTTGGCTCGTAATATAAATTTGAGTTCTTGCTGTTTAATGTCGTTGTACATTGTAAAAGCACGACTTTACTTAAATAACGCTCAAATTATAGAAGTTAGAAGGCACCACTTTTTAATATTTTACAATCTAAAAGCCATCAAAAATTTAAGAAACATAGTGAGCCAATATTTTTTATTAAAAAAAATTAGATCGGTTATTTTTTTATATTAAATGGGATAGGACCTTATTAACAACAAACCTGGTTAACAATATATTTTTTTAATAATTTTCAAATAATAAATAATTTTCAAAATATCTTTATTCTAACCTTGTTTAATAAAAAGAGTTTAAAAATATTACATATGACAATTATCAGTTTTCAATTTTATATATAAAAAAATCAAAAATAAAGATGATTTATGGTATATCTTCACTGAAATTTTAATTTAACATATTAATAATATCTATTTTTACTCATTTGCTTTAAAAAAATTTCAATAATAACGATTATGATAATTGTCACTTTCCTGTAGTACATCTTCACTGAAATTTTAATTTATATTGTTAACAATATCTTCATTTACCCATTTGCTTTAAAAAATTTAAAAAGGTTCAAAAATAACTATTATGACAATTGTCACTTTCCTGTAGTACATCTTCACTGAAATTTTAATTTAACATGTTAACAATATCTATTTTACCCATTTGCTTTAAAAAAAATTAAAAAAGTTCAAAAATAAGTATTATGACAATTGTCACTTTCCTGTAGTACATCTTCACTGAAATTTTAATTTAACATGTTAACAATATCTTCTTTTATCCATTTGCTTTAAACAAAAAAGTTCAAAAATAACGATTATGACAATTGTCACTTCCCTGTAGTATATCTTCACTGAAATTTTAATTTAACATGTTAACAATATCTATTTTTATCCAAATGCTTTAAAAAAATTCAAAAAAGTTCAAAAATAACGATTATGACAATTGTCACTTTCCTGTAGTACATCTTCACTGAAATTTTAATTTAACATGTTAACAATATCTATTTTTACCTATTTGCTTTAAAAAATTTCAAAAAAGTTCAAAAATAACGATTATGACAATTGTCACTTTCCTGTAGTACATCTTCACTGAAATTTTAATTTAAAACATATTAACAATATCTATTTTTACCCATTTGCTTTAAAAAAATTTAAAAAAGTTCAATAATAACGATTATGATAATTGTCACTTTCCTGTGGTTCATCTTCACTGAAATTTTAATTTAACATATTAATAATATCTATTTTTACTCATTTGCTTTAAAAAAATTTCAATAATAACGATTATGATAATTGTCACTTTCCTGTAGTACATCTTCACTGAAATTGTAATTTATATTGTTAACAATATCTTCATTTACCCATTTGCTTTAAAAAATTTAAAAAGGTTCAAAAATAACGATTATGACAATTGTCACTTTCCTGTAGTACATCTTCACTGAAATTTTAATTTAACATGTTAACAATATCTATTTTACCCATTTGCTTTAAAAAAAATTAAAAAAGTTCAAAAAAGGATTATGACAATTGTCACTTTCCTGTAGTACATCTTCACTGAAATTTTAATTTAACATGTTAACAATATCTTCTTTTATCCATTTGCTTTAAAAAAATTCAAAAAAGTTCAAAAATAACGATTATGACAATTGTCACTTCCCTGTAGTATATCTTCACTGAAATTTTAATTTAACATGTTAACAATATCTATTTTTATCCAAATGCTTTAAAAAAATTCAAAAAAGTTCAAAAATAACGATTATGACAATTGTCACTTTCCTGTAGTACATTTTCACTGAAATTTTAATTTAACATGTTAACAATATCTATTTTTACCTATTTGCTTTAAAAAATTTCAAAAAAGTTCAAAAATAACGATTATGACAATTGTCACTTTCCTGTAGTACATCTTCACTGAAATTTTAATTTAAAACATATTAACAATATCTATTTTTACCCATTTGCTTTAAAAAAATTTAAAAAAGTTCAATAATAACGATTATGATAATTGTCACTTTCCTGTGGTTCATCTTCACTGAAATTTTAATTTAACATGTTAACAATATCTATGCTATAAAAAAATTTTCAAAAATAACGATTATAACAATTGTCACTTTTCTATGGTACATCTTCATTGAAATTTTATTTTTACATCTTAATATTAATAATTATAACTTATTTAATTTAGGATATAATAAATCAAATAAGTTAAAAATAACGATTATTACAATTTCCACTTTTTAATACATTACATCTTCATTGAAATTATAATATAAATTTTTTTTTATATAAATTTTTTTTTACCCATATATGTTCTAAAAAGTTAAAAAATAACGATTATGAAAATTGTCGGTACATCTTTATTAAATTTTTATTTTAATTTAACATGCAGTTCAAAAAATAATATCAAAAAAATAAAACATTATAAAATATGAAGATCTTTGAAGATCGTTGCTCGAAATTTTTTAAAAGTAAAAGATCTTCAAATTTTACGATCTTCAAAGATCTCGCTCAAAAATCTTCAAAGAAGATCTTTTGTACAACTCTGATATATATTTCTAATTCAAATTACAACTTAAATTTTTATATACCTTTTTCTTTTTGTTGTTGACGAAAAAACTTACAGATATCCATATTTAAAAATTATAAAAAATTAAAATTTATAAACTATCTATATAGTTTAAAAATATATATTTAATAATTAAATTTATAAATATCTAATTTAACTATGCCAAGCCAGAAAATATTTACAAAAATCTTTATTGTTATTTAATAAATTTAACTATGCCAGAAATTATTTACATACAATATATCTTTATTCTTTTATTGTTATTTAATATTTTAGTTCATATAATTTATATATATTTTTAAACGATGTGATCATTTAAAATTAAAACTCCTTTTTTTATAAATATATTTCATTGTGATATTCATATTCATATTGTATTATATATAATATATTATCTTATTTCTCTAAATTGAAACCGTTTTTTAAATATAATTATTCGCAATAAAAAAATAATAATTTTTTATTTTATAAAAAAAAAAAAATAAGGGGGGGGGGGGGTTCGACCCCCCCCCCCCTTGTCTACACCACTGTATAACTCCCTGAATGAGACCCGGCTTGTTCAACTTCAGACAATATAATGAAGTTTATTTGGTCCACCTCTGTCACGTGAGTTATGGTTGTCGAGTTAACATTTTTTCTAGTAGATTCGTTAACCCCAAGCAATGGTTGGGTAATAAGATGACGAGCAGACAAGATGTAGTGTCTATATATAAATCTCAAAAAATACCCAAAAAGGGATATGAGGCGAAGCCTAAATTGATTGACAAAGTAGGAAAGAGCATAAGAGATTTTGCTTACTTATCCCGCCATATTATGATTAAATCAAAATGCATCGAGGTTTAAAACAATTTACTGAATTTAAGTTATGCCAATTATAACAGATGTCAAGAAATAAAATATGCAACATGGCAAGCTTGGAACCTATAATTAAAAATTCATTTAAGGTACCATTTTAATTTTTATATACTTATTCTTTAAAGGAGGCTGATCAATTGAATTTATTAACTACCAATCTTTTTATACAGTAATTATTTTTTATTGTTTAATTATAGACATTTAACAGGCTAGATTCTTTGCAAAGGAAGTAATAATAGGCCAAATATATTTATTATATTCATACATATATTTTAGTTTAGAAAAGTTATCAAATTTGAATGAAAACATAAATTCAATAATAAAAGCAATGAAATGACATTATAATTATATAAAAATAGGTAAGGTAGAGCAGTTCATTTTTTGGAGTGCTAACAAATATGCCATTTTGTAATATCTTATATTTTGCTCAATGAGTTTGTGAAATCATGATTAACAAGCACACTAATTTATTACAAAATAATTCATTAACTATCTTATGCCAATCTAAAATTTTTAACATTTGCTAATTATTAATAGTGGTTTCTATTCATTCTAACTAGGAAAAAATTTGATTATATGACAACCTTAAATTGTCTTTTTATTATTAAAACTATAAAAAATCACATAGATGCCTTTTTTGCAGTGTTCAGAGATTATTGTCATCATACACCTCAATTTTGTTGGGTAAAATTTACAAATAATATGAATAGATTTGGAAAGAATTTCTATTCCTTCTGATTGAAATATCTCCAATATGATCCTAGGATCTCAAAGTGATGGAAAAAATTCTTATGTTTGCTTATCATTCCTACTTTTTGTGAGGGAATTGTTCAAATAAAACAAATAATGATGATTAAAAAAAATTTCATGAGAATTTATATTTTAATAATTACAAATAATAGGAAAAAAATTATTACAAGCACACATAAATATATAAGTTTGGATATTTGCCAAATATGTTTCGTAAGTAGAAGTTAACTAAAGATTTTAATTTATAAATGACTTGATTATTGAGTTCTTAATTACACAAGATGTATAAGACAATATTATTAGGTAAAATTATGGAAATAAATAAGAATTTGCTTTTGAATTGACTTAATTATCCATTATTTTTTATAATTAGTTTATAAAAATACAAATTCGGTAACTATTTTTCAAAATAAAATAACATCTTGATTTATTAAATATTAATTTATAAAAAATAACCAACTATCCTTTATAAATATAAAAGAATGTAAACAAGATAAAATTTTATAAAAAAACAAACGATTTTAATTTTACAATGTAAAAAATATATTTTATGCGAATGTGCTGCAAAACCAGGGTTTAACAAAAATCTTAAAATAAAAATTTTGAGGAAAAAATCTTTGAAGATTAATTTACTAAAAATAAAGATTTTTGAGCAAAATAAAAAAAAATTTTGTAAAAAAATCTTTATGATTTTGAGAAAATTTTTTTGTATTTTATAATATACTAAAATCTTCAGTAAGAAAATCTTTATTATAATAAAACATTTTTGATCCTAAAATTTTTTGTACAAATATTTTGTGATTTTTTAAAAATAAAATTTTTGAGATATATGCTTTTATTTTATTTTTTGATCTTAGAAAAATATTATTTTTTATAAGTTGTAAATGTGAGAATTTAATGATTACATATTTTTTAATATTTGGTGTTTTGTCATAATTATAGATGTAAAATTCCTGGGAAAATTGGTTCAGGGGAAATTTCCCCGGGAAAATTGGGGAAAAAACAGGAAATTAAAAAATAACCACAAAATATACTTTAAACCTTTCAATTTTTTTATGGAATAACTTTATTAAATTTGAGGAACTAAGGGAAATTAATATAATTAAACAATAAAGACAAAAATAAATACACTATAAACATCATTTTTTAAATAACTTTATTAATTACAAAAAGCATGTATCAGAAATTACATTTAAAATTCTTGGGATGCTAATGAAATAGCATCAATATCTTCATGGGATGAAATTGAAATATCATCATTATCACTTGATATTGATAAATCGGAATCTGAACTCTTTTGATGATATCCCGAACTTGATGTATTTGTATGAACCTTTAAATGTATGTTATGCCTTATTGATATTAATTTTTCGACTCTTTCATTCTTTATTCTATTTCTCGTTTTTGAATGAATTTTTCCAAATGCTGACCAGTCTTTCTGACGAGGCACTTGAGGGTGGTATCGAAAGACATCTTACTGCCACTTGACAAAGGGGTTGATTTGTACACAACCCTTTCCACCATATGAGTGGTTTGGTTTGGATTGAGCTCTCCCATATGCCAGCTCCTTTATAGAAACCTTGTTTTGAACGATATTTTGCTAAATTACCCATAATTTTTCCAATATCGCAATTAATTTGGCCTGAAATAATATTTATTATATTTAAAGCTGCTGTTAATTCACGGTCTGTTAATTTCACACCATAATATCGAGGATCCAGAAGATTTGTTGCAAAATGATATTCTCGGCAACAAAATTTCTTTCGTTTTTTAATATGCATCTTAAAAAATAAAAGATGATGAATTGAGTTTATCTTTTATGTCCCAAAATATTTCTGGAACGTCAGATAATACCTATGAATCCGATTCTACAAATATAATTTTCTTATAAATAAATTCCAAAAAGGTCAGTACAGACTCTAATTTATCCCAGTATCCTTCTTTGTCTAATATAATAAGCCTTCTTTGTTTGTTTGTAAATAAACTAGAAATTGCAATTTCTTGCAAAACTTCCTTATTTTACCTTAAGGTAAGAAATAAACTCTTTTTGTTTAAGAAATTATAAAAAAAACTTTAATAAAAAACATATTGCTTTCAATCTAAACAAAGATGCGTTACATTAACAAACATACTGCAAACGCTTAATTTGTGCGCACTATTATATATCAAATCTAAATATATCATTAATTATTAATAATTCTATAATATCACATTAATATTATGTATGAGAATATAATGTGAAACATTTTACCTTTATTTTTGTACTTTTAAAATTATAGATTTGAAAAATTGCACTCAATGATTGCACTAATAAAAAAAATAAGTGTAAAGGCTCACGAGGAAAATAAAAATTATTTATAAATTAAATTATAAATCATAATTATTGAAATAAAATATTATATTTTATAAAATATAAATCATAATTTTTGCAAATAAATAATATATTATTAAGGGAAAATTCGGGAAATTTCCCGGGAAAATATGAATGTTCCCGGGAAATTTCCCTACTTTTACATCTCTAGTCATAATTAATGTTTTATATTTAATGTAAAGTATAAAAGTGACATACTCATCTCAGAACCTTTAAAAATAATTTTAATTAAAATAAGCTAGTTGAGCATCAAGATGGTTTCAGTGATTGTAAAGGATATAAAGTTGACAATTGTCTTAATCGTAATTTTTGAACTTTTTTGAGTTTTTTTAAGTAAATAAGTAAAAATATGTTTTGTAAATATGTTAAATTAAAATTTCAGTGAAGATGTATCATAAAAAAGTGACAATTGTCATAATCGTTAATTATTAACATTTTTAAATTTTTTTAAATAAATAAAAATATGTTTTGTAATTATGTTAAATTAAAATTTTAGTGAAGATGTACCATAGAAAAGTGACAATTTTCATAATCGATAATTATCAAGATTTTTAAATTTTTTTAAAGCAAATTAGTAAAAATATGTTTTGTAAATGTTAAATTAAAATTTCAGTGAAGATGTACCATAGAAAAGTGACAATTGTCATAATCGTTAATTATCAACATTTTTAAATTTTTTTAAAGCAAATAAGTAAAAATATATTTTGTAAACATGTTAAATTAAAATTTCAGTGAAGATGTACTATAGAGAGTGACAATTGTCATAATCGTTATTTTTTAACCTTTTTGAATTTTTTTAAAACAAATAGGTAAAAATATTTTTTATAAACATGTTAAATTAAAATTTCATCAAATATGTATCTTAGAATAGTGACAATTGTTTTAACCGTTATTTTTTTTTAAAAGCTTATTATAAAATTATATATTTTGAAAATTTTTAATTTCAGTGAAGATGTACCATAGAAAAGTGACATTGTTATTATTAGTTTTTTCTAATTTTTTGTAGTAATGAGCTTACTACCTATAAAGGTGACAATTGTCTTATTACTCATTTTATATATTTTTAAATTAAACATAAGTAAAAATGTTCTGATATAATTTAAAACTAGACAATTATCTAATTCTCAACTCCCTTTTGAAATTATTTTAGTATATTTATCGTATTGGGATTCGGAATCCGTGGGGATTCGGAATCTTTTGATTTTAAAACCTTTATCGAGAGCGATTTAAAAAATTTTAAAGTTCGATTTTAACCGGAAATGTATTCTAGCTTGGGTAGAATACCCAACTGTAAATTTCAAACAATTTTGCCATGAACTTTAGAACTACTTCTAATTTATATTAATTTTTATATGGATTTTTCATATAAATTAAAAAAATACTAAAATGTCTATCGCTGAAATTGGCTAAAATTTATAGGGTAAATATTCTACACATGCTGGAATTCAATTCCTGTAAAATCAGATTTTTAAAATCCAAAAATTGTCCATAGTAAATGATTTAAAATTGAGAGATGCCGAATCCCCACCGATTCCGAAACCCCATACGACATATATATTTTTTGAAATTATCATATTACTCATTTCCATTATTTTTAAATTATATTAATATAATATTTTGTTGGAAAACACTTAAATTTCTGTGCAGATTATAATAGTATTATATATGTTAAATGTTTAGATGCAAGAATGGAGTTCAACTAGAAAGATGCACTAAATAAAAATGATCTTTTTACGACAAAAATATTTAAAAATATTAAATCAATTTTAGTGAGTTATTTTCTAAGAAATATTATAGGGGAATTATTTTCCGCTCCCATTAAAAAATCAGAATACTATTATGCAGCCTGTAGAAGGAAAAAAGGTTTGGACATCTATTAGCAAAATCTCGAGGCTTAGGTATTATTTATCTGGCTAAAATATTGAGCTAGCCATTTTAAAAATTGCCTCAAAACGAGCTTTAACACTAGGGGTTGGTTTAAATTTATTTATATTGGCTAGGGCAAGAGGAAAAACCTATAAAAATTATTTATATTTTACATTCTCTCTTTCTCCTTATAGAATATTTAAAATAAAACTACTTATATAAAAAAGTTTAAAGAAAAACACAATTAAATTAATTCAATTTATTGGTTAATAAATGTACACAAAACAGGAATATATTCTTAAAAAAACGCGTATAATCTCAATCTCATTTTAAGTTCGATGTGCCAGCAATCAATGGATAAATATTGCTTCAAAGTTATAGTCCATCACCTTTACTAAAGTAACAGAATATAAGTCATAACATAAATAAAATAAAAATAATATACCCTACAAATAAAAAAAAATATATTGTTAATTAATAGTGAAAAAAAACCAGAAAAATGTTAACTTTTTTTAACCTAATAAAAACTATATTGAAAATTTTAAATAATTTTCTAAATAAAAAATACATTAAATAATAAAAGGGAGAGGCAATGGAAAAAAGGAAAAGAATTTGATGTCTGA